AAAACGTACGTAAATTTCATGGCAATCTCCGTGGGTGGGCTTCAAGGCCGCGGGGAGAACTTGGGGCTCTCGGTAACCATCTCAGCCTTCATTCGGTGCATTAAGCGAGGGAAGTTGCCGACCATCAGTCAAGTGACCACACGGGGCATTAACTATGCCATGAGATAGGATTTTTGCCATATAAGTTTCGATCCTGACAAGGCACAAAAATCAGCTTTCATCATGTTCTTAAAATATAAGTCATTAACATCACAAAGTTCGGAGTTATTAGGCTCATATTGCTGATAAAATTTCAGAATCAATAACACCCTCATCGGCTTTCACGACCCGCGACCTACTGTTGTCATAAGGTTAGCTATTTTTACGCCAATCAAGGCGACAGCCAAAACACGACGTGAGCGCTCTGCGTCTGCTTTCAGATCTCCCTCCTTCCCCTCCCTGCAGGACTGTGAAGCGTTTAAGTGAAGGAGGCCTCTGCCCGGACCGGGCCGAAGCGAGCAGAGCCGGGGTGCTGGACCATCCCTGTCACGAGCGACCCCGCGACCCTGAGCACGTGACCACGGAGACGTCACATGCGCCGGTCCGACCAGACCTTTGTCGCGGCTTCTGACACGGACGCTGCCTGTCAGCTGCTCTCGTCGCCGGCCATGATTGGTCCTTTAAAGCAGCGCAGCCCGATCCTTATTGGCTTGGCTGTGTGACGTGCGCTGAGACAGGGGGATATAATGGTTGTTGGTCTGAGCGAGCCTTGGTCTGAGCGTCGGCATCCATAAGACAGCCCCCCCCCCAAGACTGTGAAAGATTTGCGGCATCAGGCAGCATCAAGCAGAGATACGAGAAGCGCGACATTTTATAATTGACGCGGGCGACGAATCGGCACATTCGTGGGGATGGCCTCAGCAGCCTTTCCTGATCACATTATCCATACAATAGCAGGCGTGTTTCACGAGCTTGTTAAGGTGGAAAGGTCGTGCATAGATGTCCCGCGGACTTCTCGTGCATTAATCCCAGTCGCGCATGGGAGCAAAAAGCCCACGTCTCGCTTGGAGTAATGCTCAGACATCGCACTTTTCTGCGCAGTTATATGACGATTATTTTGTACATATGACGAGTAGCTAGCTGACCCGTCAGTGTCTCTCGTGGTCTTCATGGCACCTAGTCTGAGCTGTCTGACTGACAGCACGGTGGAGGGCAGCGGATGACAGCACGGTGGAGGGCAGCGGATGACAGCACGGTGAAGGGCAGCGGATGACAGCGCGCTGGATGTGACAGCACAGTGGAGGACAGCGGATGACAGCACGGTGGAGGGCAGCGGATGACAGCACGGTGGAAGGCAGCGGATGACAGCACGGTGGAAGGCAGCGGATGACAGCACGGTGGAAGGCAGCGGATGACAGCACGGTGAATGACAGCGGATGACAGCACGTTGGATGTGACAGCGCAGTGGAGGACAGTGGATGACAGCACGGTGGATGGCAGCAGATGACAGCACGGTGGAAGGCAGCGGATGACAGCACGGTGGAGGGCAGCGGATGACAGCACGTTGGATGTGACAGCACGGCCATTTAACGACAGCGTAATTTCAGCAACAAGTGAGCGTAATTTAACAACAAGTCACAAAAGCAACGCAACAATAAATTTTGAGCGCAATTTTTAATCTCTTAAATGTTTGGCCCATTTCATTGCCATCTATGGACGGTAGTACCTGAGTCACATTCATGAACATTCTCTGTACAGTTCATGCACCAAATACTTCAGACAAAGCTTTCATCTCAGTCTGTAGGCTGCATCGGACAGCCCCGCTTCTTCCGATCAAAGATGGGCAATCATCGCAGGTCTGCACCGCAAGGGCTGCCCTTCGGTTACCTTTCTAGCAATTTCGAGCACACTGCGCCCGCACCTTTGTCTCGTCGACCCGGTAGCTCAACGACAGAAATCTCGCTTAACGTCACCAAAGCCAATTTCCATTTACCTTCACAGGTTTCCGCCAACAGCGGCCGCTTTTCAGCGAGCGTTCTCTGAGAGCGTGGTAATCAGTGGCCGTGACAGTAGGATAAGGTCAACGTTATCAAAGACCCAGACTTAAGCGCTGCGTGCCTTTCATTTGGTTTATGGCTGATAAAAGGGGTCCTCTTAACTGAGAATTGCACAAGCCACAATATTTAGTAAAGAGAAGCTTCTGATGGCTTTAATTTTGGCTCTCCTTCTTCGGGTTATACGTTAGTAAGGCAAGCCTGGCATGGATCAGACGACGCGAGTCGTTTGGTTAATTTCATTTTTTCAGATGCACTGCTTCTCCGCACTTTTCTTTCATAGCTCGGTTTGAGCCGCATCGATCAACAGCTGGACAGAATCGTTGGTTTATGCAGTCGGTAGACTGCGAGAACGCGCATAACTGATTTATTTATGTTTATCACTTCATGAATACAAATGCAAGACTGCATTCGTTCTTTGGATAGTCACTCGCAGCTGCTGTCCTACACACCGAAGACTACCGCGCTGGAGCACTCCGACACATAATAGCAAGACAACTTGCCGGAAAAATCGGATGCTAAGCATTGAACGCAGTCTTTTATGTACATGTTACGGTGTAAACAAAAGTAAACTAGATAAGATAGTAATAAAAGTTTGATTGCTCGGGGAAATACCAGGATAATGGAGAGATAGATGCGCTGATCTTTCAGCAACATGCCTTCGTCTAAACGGATATCAGTGTTTGCCTGCTGATACTACTCGATTTTTCAGCTTTCTGTAAACAGCAAACCACAGTTTTATGAAACATCAGCATTCAGGGGAATAAACAAGGAGCAACTGTCAGCCTTTCTGCAATGCAATGCATTTCAAATTAAGAGTTAGAATACGCGGAAAATAAGTCTCCATGCAAACGAATTCATGTAAACAAGCATCACGCATCACGCTTCATTCAAAAATGCAAGCAATTTCAAGTAAACACGCGTGACGTATCACGCATCAATTATGCATGCAAACTACTCCAATTAAAAAGGTATCGCTCATCGCGCGTCAGTCATCACTCATACACGTAAACGATTCTAAGCCAGCACGCATCCCGCATCAAGGCACTTATCATATTCACGTAATCGGTCGTATGCATTTGCATTTGCAGAGATACACGTACTTTTCGAGTATTATAACTTTCAGTTTGATACGCACTATGTCGTAAAAATGGTTAGCAATAGCTCCTTGTTTAATCCTGTGAGTTTTGGCGATCCGTAAAAGCTGGAGCTCACCGCTTTTAAAAAAACCCTGAAAAATCAAGTTCCATCGCCTGGCAACTTTGAATTTACTTCGTTCCGTTTACTTCGTTTCGATAACGGCATGTTGCCGAAATATCAACGCATCCATCTTACCATTCTCCTGTTTTTTTTCCACGAGGAATAAACCAATTACCACTGTCTTATCTATATCCACAATAGGCCTTGCAAACGAACTTGATAGCTTATATAGAAATAAACCAGCTTTGTAGCTTCTAACCAGGCACGTAACCAAAATTGCTATCAGGTGGGAAATTGACACATGTCAAATTTTCTCCGAATTTCCATGAGTTCGGGTCAAATTCCTATAAAATCGCCCCACATCAAATGTAAACCACTGAGCTCAGGGTGAGGGCATCTCCTCCTTTTCCACGTCCCTGATTCCAACATAGCCTAAGTACTGCGCGATCCCTCAACGTTAACCTATTGCTCGACGCAGCACGCCTTCGTGAGGGTGAGAAATTCACGCAAACACTCACAAAAACACATGCACACCAGACGGACTCACGTATGCACGCGCACAAGGCAGACTCAGGGATACACGCACACAAGCACATACGCATACAGGACGGACTCAGGTATGCACGCAAGCAAGCATACACGCACGCATACACGCGCACAAGACGGACTCACGTGTAAACGAACACAAGGAGACAAGACGGACTCGGATTTGCTCTTGTCAGTGTGACTGCGTTAGCTTGCCCGCTTCGCCCGCTCACTCACGTCTGAATCGCAGACAGACCGCTCCGGGCACGACAGACAGGCCACTCCGGGTACGATAGACAGGCCACTCCGGGTACGACAGACAGGCCACTCCGGGCACGACAGACAGGTCACTCCGGGTACGATAGGCAGGCCACTCCGGGTACGACAGACAGGCCACTCCGGGCACGACAGACAGAACACTCCGGGTACGACAGACAGGCCACTCCGGGTACGACAGACAGGACACTCCGGGCACGACAGACAGGCCGCTCCGGGAACGACAGACAGGACACTCCGGGTACGACAGACAGGCCACTCCCGGTGCGATAGACAGGCCACTCCGGGCAAGACAAACAGACTGCTCCAGGCACAACAGACAGACCGCTCCGTGCACGACGGACAGAGCGCTCTAAGCACGACAGACAGGCCGCTCCGGGCATGCCAGACGGGTCGCTCCGGGCACGACAAACGGACTGCCTCAGGCACGACAGACAGACCACCCTGGGCACGACAGACACAGCTCGTCAGATTGCAGGAACGCGTTACGTCAGCTGTCTTGTGCTCGGCTCCAACAGTCCAGTGGCGTTCTAATGGCGCGCCACCAGCTGGCCTCTGCATGTGAACATCAATCTGATGCATCATCTCATATGACAGCCAGTTTGTCACCCATGGCTTATATGGATGCATTGAAAGCCAAGGCATCCACCGGCGAAATTAGTGACATATCCCACAACTATAGGCGCATCCAGGGATGTGACTTGCGAGCACAAGACGCACTGCTGAATATTGAACAACCAGTGTCTGAAAATCGATGTCGACCCGCTCGTAGACATGTGTTCTATCCCGCTCTCGACGAGCCGCGCGTGCGTCCCCATGCATGCCATACAGACACTGTATTATAACGTGTAGCACTTGTAAGGCGTTGGGTGAATCATGGCGCACTGAATGGCAGCCGACCCGCGGCCGCCGTGACCGAGTGCCGGCGGCCTACGCCGACGGCGACGCCTGCCCAGCCCCGCTGACCTGGAGCGCGGCGGTGACGGCCGGCGGCACCTCCATCAGGCCCGAGGAGGACATGCGCCGCGTCATCTTCTCCACCATTATGCCCATGCGGATGACGTTGGCGACGGTGCGGAACTTGGGCTGTCCGTCGGCGCGCTTCTTGTGGGTGTTCTGGCGCGTGAAAGTGGAGGCGAGCCACTCGCGCACCTCCTGCGGCACGGCATCTTGCTGCACCTCTGACAGCTCGTCCTCCTCGTCCTCGCTCGGACACCGTCTGCCGGGAGCAGCGGACGTCAGCGGCGGCGGTGGCGGGCCGGCCCTGCGGCACAGCGAGGCGGCGACGGCGGGTCAGCGCGGCGGCACGGGCCGGCACAGACCACGTGTCAACGGGGGCAGGGATCCGCCGAGCGACAGAACAGGACAGAGGTCAACAGAAGGGCAGAGATCAGCAAAACTCAGAGGCCAAAGGTCAGTCGAGGCGCAGAAGTCAACATAGGGCACGGGTCAGCGGAGGATGAAGGTCAGTAGAGATGCGGAGGTCGGCAGAGGTGCAGAGGTTAAAAGAGGGAAATTAGCCAGCGGGGAAACATGTTAGAGAGAAAAGGGTAAGTACAAGGGCATATATATATATATATATATATATATATATATATATATATATATATATATATATATACAGTAGAGCAGGATAGCAGGTGGTAGCGGTGGACCACAGGACAGGGTTTAAGGTCGAGGACGCAGCTCAGACACATCGGTCATACGCAGACAACGCAAAGGGAGAGAAAAGTTCAGGATCAGTTATCAGCTACGGACCAAACAAGGAAAGGCCGATAAGTCAACAAGAAAGGGTACAATTATGGTGGAATATAATTAGATTTTGCCTGAAAAGTGTGCTGATTGCATGTTGTGTTCTCTGCATTGTATCAAGTACAGTGTGAGTACAACAGGCCTACAGTGAAACAAACAGAAATTCATCGGGAGAGGCGAAGGCCAGAGAGAGCAGGTAAACATGAGGGATGCAGGTCAAGAGGTAAGCAAGAGGGCACATTTGAGAAGACGACACTGGTCAGTAAGAGACATAACAGATGAGCAAAGGGAAACGGGTCGACAGAGGGGCAAATACCCGTAAAAGGAGTAGACTCGCCAGTATGAGGGAAACAAGGTCGCAAGCTGGCGCGAGGGACGTTGTCAATACGAGGGACGCAGCCAGGCCAGGAGAGGGGTGCGGTCAGCAGAGTAGGTACGTATTAACAGAGATTGCCAATGCTCGCAGACCGGGCGGGGAAACATGTTGCAGGGGGTGAGCATGAGGCCGCAATGGACATGAGTGAGCGCCCCTCCTCGCCCCCCCCCCCCCCCCCCCCCCCCGGTCGGTCCCCAGGTGCGGTGTATCATGCTCAGACAATGACACTCTTCACGGAGTTGGCCTGTGGTGGAGTCTAGGTGAGCGAGCCGGTCGCTTCACGGTGGAGGAGAAGTGTCCCAACTTTGGGGGTTTTCGTTGTTATTGGGAGACGAGTTGTGTTCGCTTGTCACCGACGGACGTCCATGCCGGAAAGAGCTGACTTAGGTTCAGTGGGGGACTCAGCCCGCCCGTGTTCTGAGGACGCGGCGCTGCGCGCAGGTTGAGCGCCCTGGGTGCAGAATGGGTGCCCTGGGTGCCAGGCGGCAGAATCACAGACTGGATGCACGCCGGCTGCGGGCTATAGCACACGTATATTTCGGGCTACTCCATTTGGTTTGATATTCGTGATGTTTCCTGAATCTGTGTGTGTGCGTGGGTGTATGCGTGTCATGAAACAGGAGATGGTATAAGCAACCGTATATAATATTTCAAAAATATGCCCCAGAAGTCTTCTTCAAGAGCTCAAAAATGTAGGCAAAATGCTGAAGGCGGTAAAACATCTTCAATGACATTGGTGTAAAGGCGTTCGACATTTTGAGTTTTGATGCAAAGATAATTTTTTTTCCAGTTACGTTCATCCGAGGTCAGGGGCAAAACTGAATAGACAAAAAGAAGGTCCACCGCTGGGTTCTTGCACGCCGTGAAGCGAAACAATTAGCGAAATGTTATGGATGATAATGTGGGATGTTTGTGGGCATAATGACTGCTTACATGATAATTAACTTGAAACTTCGTGACGGATATTCGTAGCATGATGGCGGTTGTTAATGCTTTGTCTTGATTGTAAAGCTGGGGATTTTAAATGATCGTCAGGGTAGTTGTCAACATGACGCATCAGCAGAAGCGATCTTTCATAATGCAACATAACACAGGCAGCTATACTGTGGTGCGTTTATGTGTGTGCTTAATTGGTCAAACCCATCCAAAAATCATGTGAAAAGGAATGAAAACCTTAGCATGGCAGATGACAACTCATGTCCATCGTCCATGCTTCACTGAAAACGCTTTCTGCACAGGAAAAGTAACAAGCACCGAACAGTGTCTGCAAAGATGATGCGGTGTTGTAAATAAAATGATGCACAAAGTGATTCGTATCCAGTGTGCAGCCCATGTCCCACGATATATGGGAAAAATCATTTCCGCACGAAAAAACAGCAAACGAATGCGAGCAAGGATCAAGTGCACATTCAATCCGTTGCATGCAAATTAGCACCGGCAGTGCTCTAAGTAAGAACCCCGGCAGCGATCCGTCGCGTATCCGTCACCGACCGAAGCAAACGACGCCGCTCGCCGCCCGGTCGAGACAAGATCGCAAACCACGCCAGACTTTTGAGCGGCGGCACAACCGTTCACAACAGCCGCGTCTCAGCCGAGACCCAGGAAGAAGAGCGGGGATGGCGCAGCGCTGCGAACCGTGTCTGAAGAGCAGAGCTCAGAGCGTGCCCAACTAAAAAACAACACGAAAACATTTGCTGGCGACAGCTCTCTCTCCAAACCGACTGCGAGCTTAAAACTTTACGCGGCTGTGACACTCGGGCGCACCTTGCCCGGAGCAGGCCGACTTAAATGCGAACAGGCCGAAGCTAGGCTTGAGAAGCTGGACAAGGAGGGCTGGATGAACGGCACGCAGAGCTCCGTGGTCGTGTGACCGTCCGCTGCGGCCCAGTGCGGGTTGGAGGAAGGCCACCACTGGAGCGCAGCCCACTGGAGCGGAGCACGAGCCCACCGTTTTCATGGGCCAGAGGAGGCTCGATCACAGCCGCTGTGCGGAGGGACCGCTGGCGCCGTTCAGCAAACCTACTTCCCCGGACACTTGGTCATCATTTCCGTTGACTACTTCCGGTCATCTTTTCTTCGATCACTTCCGGTTGCTGCTTCCAGGTGCCATTTTCACGCCGCTCTTCCAGCACCACTTCCGGTCACCATTTTTATAATTTCTTCCGGTTACTGCTTTCATGTACTATATCCTGTAAACTCTTCTAAGTCACCAATTTTGGTCACCAACTACTATCACAACTTCCTGTCTCCGCTTGCAGCCGCACTTGCACTTCACCTTAGCTTTTCCGTTCACCCATTTCGCAACCTTTTTCCAGCCGCGGGGTACGGTGGATCGTCGAAAGACCCGGAGAAATGATGAGGGCCGAGATGGGTGGTGGGATTTTCTGATTTCCAAGCCTTCGCCGCAAAACATTCAATGATCTAAAAATACACAGAGCAGATGAAACATGGCCTTAAGTGGTTGAAGAACATTTCCGCGGGTATTCCCGATTTAGACTTTACAATAAAACAAATTATGAACGGTATGCACTGCCCATCTCCAGCAAACGCAAAATTGCGGCAAAAGCGTCACGATCCATGATCAGAGAGAAGCTCCGCTTACTTCTCGGGAACACTGTGCTCCAAATACAGCGCCACGATATGAGTAAGTTAAGCTGAAACGGCGTCCCATGAGGCTCACGTTTAGGTCGACCCGCTCCTACAATATTGCAGCGTAAATAACGACCAGACCATCATATGAGCCCGGAGGAAATGACGCCACTTTCCAGAGATGGGGAAGTGTACCTACTATCTAGTTCTCGATAAGCCTCAGTGAAGGAAAGGGGAAATCAAGTGGACCTAGCTGGGGAGCCAGCGGGACGCGCCAGTCACCGTTAGCGTGCATTCCGGCCGATAAGGACCATTCTCGTCGGCGGTGCGTCCGACATTCCCCGGGCATTGTCAAGCATTCCGCGGACATTGTCCAGCATTCCGCGGAAATTTTCCGAGATTCCCGGCCCGCTCCGAGGTGCGCAGACTTGGGCTGGAAAACTGGCGTCTTCCTGATGACCAGCCCGGCGGCAGCCGCCAGCGACACGGCGTAGAACTGCGTGTCACGCGGCGGCGAGACAGGTGACCTCCGCCCTCATCGGCGAGGGGTCGCGCGGTGGTGGGTTCGGCGGCACTCCGGAGTGGCAACTCGCGCTGTAGAAGGGAAGGGGCCGGGCAACAGCGCGGGCAAAGGGTCAGGTAAGTCAACTGACCCCTTCTTCAGAAGACTTAGCGATGTAGAAGTTCGCGCATGGCAGGCTGGTGCCCGGGACAACAGCCAGCCTGTCGGTTTGTGCTCAGCTGACCACTCATAACAAAAGTCGGGCTGAGTTACTGAAGGCGGTCGTGTTGGGGAGATAGCGGCTGATGGAATGTGTTGGCATGTTACGTGATGTGATATGACGGTTTGCGTCGTTCGGGCAGCGTGTTCAAACACGGTTAAACAGGGACGAGAGACTATGTTGTTCGTGATCTCAGTGACTCCAAGCATCGCAAAATTTCTCGGTGACAGCCTATCGTTTAAACCGAGCTCCAAGCCGAAGCCGGACGGCGAGCACAGTGTCACTAACGTACCTCTGCCAACCTCAAACAAAACCGACGAATATATCCTCTCGTATGGTCACACAAGCCATGGGATTAGGAGGTAACCCAGTCTTGTTACTGTCGGTTTTTTCCGATGGCGGTCAGTCCTATTCGATTGACATTGAAGTGGCGTTCACACCACCTGGGCTCTGTTCGACACACGTCTGCCTGGTGAGCGTTTCACCCTGACCCTGAACTGTGACGTAGTCTGCCGAATCCATCTTCATCCACCGCAGCCGGGTCCCATCCATACTTCTTCCATTCAATGCGTTCTAGTCTCTCACATTTTTCCCAGACAATTTTTCAAATTCATCGTTGCGGCCGGCGGAACGAAAACAAGATAGAAGAGGCCAACACGATTTTGCACGCGTCGCACGTATTCTGAAAGAGCGAACGCTAACTGGCTCTTTTATTCCGATGGACCAAACAGGGTCGCTCAGCCCTTCGGTCGCCTATCGCCGTTTCGCTGATGAGTTGTGTGGTGGGACCAACGCCAAATGGCAGATCAAGGCCTGAGTCGACCG